TGTATTAGGTCAACGTTTAACCTCTGCAATTTGATTTATTAGTTGTAACACTTGCTAGTATAAAATTTGAGTACCATGTTTATCTACCATGTTTATCTTGATTCAAGGAGCGGACGACTTAGCCATGCCTTGGTTAAGTAAATTTGGTCATAAGTCAGCAAAAAGTTGGGTACCAGCTATGGCTGTTTCCTTAAAAAATGGAAAAAAATTGAAAAAATGTAAGCAATGGCTGTTTCTTCTTTTGTGTTTGTTTAATTTTTTAAACATTAAAGACCTGCACGTACCACAGAGGTCCACCTCGGCCCGAGTACCATGGGTCAGATAAAGTGCTTGAATGCAGTCCCATGCATAAACTAATTGTATGACTATAGGTTTTATGACTTCTAAATTTTGGTGATTGTTTTTCATAATGGTTACAATTGAAACGCATATATCTAGTATCGAGCAGATGACGAGAAGAATTAGATATACTCTTGCTTGGTACAAACATTTCTGTCTAATGCGAATAGGTTATAAATTAGGCTAAAAGTTTTCTCTGTATAATGCTTTCATCCCTGATTGCTCAACTTTCAAATCATTAGCTATTAGTTGGATTACTTTTGAGTTTTGCTGATTGTTTTTTTAATTGACACAATCAAAGCACAGATCTTTATTATCGAACAGCGACTGAGAAGAATAAGATATTTTTGTTTGGTATACAGTGTTGTCAAATGTGTTCATATTACAGAATAAGCTGAAAGTTTTCCCTGTACAGTGCTTTTATCCTTGATTGCTTAACTTGCAGCCCTTTGCTATGTTAACAAGGAAACTTATATTTGTTGACATAAGATTCCCACTTCAAGGATTCCAATTGGCCGCTTCCATAACTCCCTAGCGGTAGGGTGTTGATCGCTGATGTACATTGTTGATTCATCTAATACATGGTAACCACCTTCAAGACAGGCTCTGATATAAACCCTTGTTGAAAACTTGTGTTCTTTCCTCCTATCTCTCTCTAGAACCCCAAAGCTAAACTTCTCGAGGTTAAACCACCGAGAATGAACTGGTCGGTGATCCAATCGTCTTTCACAGGTGTGTAATTGCAATTTTATCCCCCCAACAACTTCATCCTTTGAAGTTGTTTTATTTTCAACAGTGAGTACTAATTGCTCTTCAAAATGCTTTGCTGCTACAAAAAAAGGTCCTCATTCCAGAACGGGTTAGGTGTTTTGTTTGGACTTAGTTTAGTCTTTAGTATCTGATTTCCAACTTGAGATTTTGCAAAGACATGAGGGGGTTGGCTTTTGTCTTGAGATTGTACTTCTTGTGCTTCGATTATATTGACTTTGAGGTACTACAATTTAGGGGAAACATAGACCTTTGTTCGGACACTGAAAATGCCTTCTCCTTTAACTGAAGTAGCATCGAATGCCATGCTTCTGGGAATACTTCATTTGCTTGAGTTCCCATCCAAACTGCAAGCATAACTGCCCCTTTCACCTTGCTTTCTCCTTGATGATCCTTATCCTATACCATTGAGGCGCCAAAGGGCTATCCAGTGGAGCCAGAGTAGGCACTTTATTCATGTCAAAAACCACCCTTCCTAAATAGTCGTCTTTTGTTACCATCGCTCTGTCTCTAACGGAAACTTCAACAACAGATGAATGAATCTTCTCTTTCGAGAACGTGAAAACTTGGTTCCATACTGGGTTTGTTTTATTCTCAAAATGCTGTGTCTTGCCTTTATAATTCCCAAGTTTCACTTCTACATATGGATTGTAATTTCCAGTCGGTGGATTTGTAGGCAAGTCTTTTGCTTTCACAACTCGAACATAAAGATAATACATCTGTCATTTGCTAACTTGTCAAGTGAACCTCTCGACATTTATATGTGTTTTCTGCTACCTAACAACAACATATTAAATACTGGACTGACTTCTAACAACAACATATTAAATATTGGACTTCAAAACTATTTCCTACAGAAAGTTTTTTATAGAGGTAGAACTCGGTTTGGTTGAAGAATGGAGGGAAACTTTAGCCGTCTGTTGAAATGTAGAAAGACAGTTTCAGCTTTGATAAAGTAGCAAGGAAATTTGTTTAGTAGATGAATTTGTTCATAGTCTTCATATCCTCTTAAGATTTTTTTAGTAGCTCAAGGTGTGCTGGTCATTTAAGTGTTTTCTAAGAAGATGTGCTAAACATGATAGGAAAATGTTTCATAGGTATCATGAGTGATGATAATAATGGAATGGTTAGCATACTGAAGAATAGCCATTTAAGGGAATATGTAGCACTGGTTCTGATTGTTTTGCCTTCATTCCTGCCTCCATTCCCATAAAAAAATTGCTTCAAAGAAACTCATGGTTTGTGCAGTGTGTGTGTAAACAGGAGTACTGCTGATTTTGCAATGGTAGCGAACTTTTGTTAGAGCTTCAAGTGGTTCCCAGTAGAGTTATGTGGTATTGCTGTAATGATGCTTTAGCGGGGAACAATTTGGATGGTGTAGGGCCGTGCGAGGTACCTGGTTCTCATGCGGCTCAAACATGGGCTTCATTTCATTTTTTTGCAGCAAATTCTTTTTTGATGTTACAGAATATCAATCCAAGCAGAGCAATATACCAAAA